TCTTCACTTAAATTTTTTCCTCTACATAGCATTTTTATTTTATCTCCTTGGCCTGAACTTTCTTTAATAGCAGCGTCTTCAGTGCACAATTCATTTAAACTATTTTCCATTGAAAGGTCTGCACAATCCTCAGTCACGTTAAAATCTTCAGCAGGTATACACTGTACTCGCACTTCTTGAGGTTGGTCAACATTTATCAACAATGAAGTCACTATTTTCTTATTTTCCCTGTGCTCTGCTCTGGTGGCTCGCTGCTCATTTTCACTAGCTGCAATGTCATAGCGACWGGGAATAGCTCCTGGCTTCAAAGTCCYTTTGGCGGCAAGGCCTATGAAATGTTTAAAACAAAGATGATTTATCAATTTACCCATTTCGTGCATCCCGTTTCCAATAATGTCTTCATCGTTGAAGTAGTCCATGCGAATTCGCCATGTTTTCGGCTTAAATGCTTGATTATTTCTACAAAATTGGATGCACTTTTTTTGCTGCTCTTTATCGTTCGGAAACATAAAAAATGTTTTCTTCACATTTTTCTTTCTTCTATCATTGACACAGTTTTTCACTACACACTTCATTTTGTTATTTAAATACAAAATTACACGGTTAAAATAAATTGTTTCTATATTTTCATTGAGTGGTACCACGAATTTAGAGCTATCAAATTTTTTACTGCGCCGTGTGACGTAAAGAATTGTTTGTTTACAGTTTTCAAGTATAACGGACCTGCGCAATGCGTAATCCCTTTTCTATAATTTTTGACCAAAACCCATAATTATTTTCGTGCAACGATACGTAAAAATATAATTGTAATCGTGTTTTAGCTGTCATTTTACAAAAAGACATAATACACCGTTAAATTGCTGAGGATGGTAAGTGTTTAGCATTGCAGTAAACACTCAAACTCGACCTTTACGACGCACAAGGCATATATTTGCACTGTCATAAAACACGATTGATTTAAGTATTAATTTATTCACGTATTTATTTGGTACTCTCCAAGTACCATCCAATTCATTTGAAGGAAAACTCAGCCCAATATTATGATTAACTCAAGCTTATATAGGAAAATAGTATGTAATCGAACTGCCAAAAGTAATAATGTTGTTATTGCATACGGAACAGTGGTCTGACCGAAAAACAGTATAATCGTATGATGTGCCAAGCCTGATCACCTGATAATGGTGCTGCTAGTTGCTTTTGTATTCTGCACAATGAACTGACCCCAACAACGGTAGAAATGCCGAAACGAAATTGAGTCATCTGACGGTGATGCCAGATAGGGCAGCAGTACCTGGATAATGGTGATGCCAAATTGCACAGTATATATCATTTACATTAAGTGAACTTATTATTAGTCGTTAACATTCCTCCCCGGCTGAACCATCAGGGCTCAAAAATTCTCGATTTGGATCTATAAGACGGCAAATCTTTTGCACTGGACGTTGACAAAAAGTTTTTCAGGTGTATATTCAACAGTTACTATTCGTACCAATCCGTCACTTTAGTGATGCGATCTATGAGCACTCGACCAAAGAGGAAGTCGCCAGATGTGACTGCGTAGCTACCATTGGGATCATCGTGAAGAGGAACGAGTTGCTGCTGAGTTGTTCGCCAGTGTCGATGGCATACGACGAAGTGATGAAGATATGGCATTACAATCCGACATGCATGCGTAATCCAAAATCGAATGCGTAAGTACTGCAACATCTCCTGTATCCCACAATGAGGGCAGCACTTGTGAGCATCACTTACGAGAAGTTTTGCCAATGGACAGGTATTGGCAATAATGATTGGATGTTTTTACTTATACGGTAGTTCCGAATTTGTTAACCTACCACCTATATGTAGTATGACTTCTTTGTCTAAAATCGTGTTCAGTGGAAGCAATTTATTTGACGACGCTGGAACGAGATTCTGGATTGTTTTCTGATCGAATATGTCGATTATATCCGATTATATCCGATTTTACGAAATCTATCCTATTTGTCAAATACTGTTTTAATGAGGAGAGTTGCTACCAAATCTAATGTAGAATAATTGTTTATATCCGATATGTCGATTATATCCGATTTTACGAAATCTATCCTATTTGCCAAATACTGTTTCAATGAGGAGAGTTGCTACTAAATCCAATGCAGAATAATTGTTGAGTCACTCCATAAAGTGTAAGTCGTATCTTTCTACTGGAAGGCGCGACGTATGCTGTTCATAGTTGTGCCCAATGGCTGAGCCGCAGAAATTTCAAGGCGGGGAATAGCTATTTCCTTTAACAGAGCAACTCCCGTTTTTGTGGGAATGAGGTATGGGTTGATTTCAACTCGTTCGGTGCTACTGAACCAAGCACTAGCCATCCCAGACGGGTGTGGTTCGTTATGAGAACCGACAAGAACGTCGTTTAATACGAGGGCAGACCAAATATCTGCGCCAATCAGTAATTCTACGGGGCCTGACGAAATATCTCTTGTCATCAAGCAAACAGTCGTCGCACTCACGACTTGGCTCGCACGTCACTGTTGACTGTCATAACTTTGCAGTCGGAGATAATTTCGTCTATATTGGAACCAGCGTAAACATCACCAACAATGTCAGCCTGGAAATCCGACGGGACGAATAGAAGAAACGACTAGCGCGCTTTTGTTAACTCGGTTATAATCACGTAAGCGGTGTCTACGCCAATTAAGAAGAGAAGGTCCTAATGTCTATATTAGAAGAAGGAGTCATAGACGTGATTGAATCAATAACGTATGGCTCAAAACTAATCTGGAATGTCTCATCCACATGAAACTTCATACTAACTCTGACAGCACCTTTGGTACGAGGTGAAAGTCTTTGATTAATACTCTCTACTTGAAACTCGCAGCGACTTCTAGGAAGATCGCAGTTACTAATGATTCGCAAACGAAGCTCACCCGAGAGCCAATATGGAAAATGCTCGACATCCCTTCCACTTACGGTCGGCAAGAAGCACATATTATAACAGAGAATATGAAGAGAAATAAATATAGTATGTATTTACGGCATGGCATATATKCCCAAGCAGAGAATATGAGGAAACTCTCAACGAAGAATTTCGTTTTGCTTGTTTATATTTTGTTTCATTTTTGACAGCGAAAAATGTGTACAAAACACATTATGTTCTCTGTCTCACATACGCAAAAATATAAAGAAACTTAAATATATGTATGCATGATGATTCTCCCAACAACAGCATTGTGATATTTTCATGCTTCAAATTTTCTTTTAACTTGGGAATCGCAATGTATGCAAATATGTRTGTATGTCGGCATTTCCATACTGGCATGTAAAAATAATTATGATACGAGTATAAYTTTGTATGAATGCATACATGGTAATATTTATAGCCAATTTGGACTTRCATATTTAATAATTTTATTTGATTTTTATATAATATACCATACTAATAAATATTTTTGTATTATGTTTCTTACTAATAGAAATTAATTTCTCACAACAATATACATATATATATGTATGTATGTACATCTTCGATCATATTAACCTTATGTCTCTGAATATGCTCATATCATAATCCTATTATCTGCCCTTATAAATTTATGTATGTATACGCATGTGCGCATTCAGAAATTCTAATAATGATTTTATCGCTTATCAATGTATTACATGTGCGCGCATTGATCTACATGTTCTTATACATACATTCATTAATACTTATACTAGCTTTTACCCGCGACTTCGTCCGCATAAGTTTTTTCTCCTGGCTGTAAGTCCCCCTGCAACCATGTGCCACTATCGTGTTCCGGTCCTCAACTTCACATCAAAATTTCTTCAAAAACAACCTAAGCACATAATGGATAGCTCCGAATGTTTCCTTAGTAAATAATGTAAATCGGTTTAAAATACTACTAACTATCTACCTGCCAACCCCCGATGTTAGATAGTGCGACATCCGCAACATCGTCTGCATAGGAAGTACTAACTTAATGT